GCTTTGGATTTATTTGGTTATTTTTCTAACTTCTTAAAAAAATACTTAGTTTATCAAATTTCAAAATTTTATCTATTTTTCTCATTCTTAAGTGTATAAATTTCCTTCAAAGCATTACTTTACCATGTCTCAGAAGTTTCTTCAAGTGTGTTTTTGGTACCTTTTATTTATTTTTAAATTCCAGTATGATTTTATCTTTACTCTTGAGTCATTTAAAAATTTCCAAATATTTAGGAAATCAAGGACTCTGAAATGTTTGAAGTTTTTTGTTTTTTGTATTTTGGGTTTTTGTTGGGTACACAATCAATATTTATATATGTTCCACATGTACTTAGGAAAACTGTGCATTCTCTAATGTTTAGATGTAGAACTATATATGTCTATTAGGCCAAAATATTCTTTTGTTGTTCAAATCTATAACATTGCTTATTATTTTTGTCTATATGACTCTTCAAAAACAAGGAGAAATGTGTTGAAATCTCCCATTACATTGATGGATTTATTAATTTCTCCTTGTGCTTGAAAACATTTTATTTCACATATTTTGAGGTTATTTTATTAGGTACATGCATGTTCATAATTGCTGTGCCTTTTTGGAGAATTGACTTTCTTATTATTAAATGGTGACTCTCTCTATCCTTAATAATTTTTCTAATTGTAAAGCCTATTTTCTCTGATATTAATATAGCTGCATGAGCTTTCCTACGGTTAGAATTTGCTGGATATATCTTTGCTAATCCTTTAACTTTAAACCTTTGTGGCCTTTTACTATGAAGCTGTGTCTCTTGTAAGCTACATAAATCTAAATATTACATTTTTACTCAAACTGTCAAACTATTAGCTGAGGAGTTTGACCTATTTACACTGATTGTATTATTGATATGATTTTTCACCTGTTTCTCTCATCTTATTTTATTGTTCAAGTGTGTCTCATATTTTAATGTTTTTCTTTAGTACTTTTTTTTTTGTCACTTTCATGTCCATTGGTTTCCTCGCTACTCCAACCCAATCATACTGATATTATCTAGACTTTAATACTAAGTTATATGATTTATATTTCATTTTATCTTCGATCTTGGTTCTCTCTTCTTTTTTAGACAACTATTTTATCAAGATAGTTGATGGGTTTTGTTCATATCATATTTTTATTTATTTATATCATATTTACTTCATCTGAAACTGTTTTCAATGTTAGTCTTTGTGGGTAAACATTCTTAAGCATTTTATACCTCTAAGAATATTTTTATCATGGCCTCATATGTGGATGATATTTGGGCTGGATATAAAACTCTTTATTTTAAGTTCTTTTTTTTAAACATTTTTTATTGATTTATAATCATTTTACAATGTTGTGTCAAATTCCAATGTAGAGCACAATTTTTCAATTATACATGAACATATATATATATATATTCATTGTCACATTTTTTTTCTCTGTGAGTATTTTAAGTTCTTTTCTTTAAACATTTAAAAATACTGATTCACTTTCTTCTTTCATCCATTTGTCACTGAAAAATTTTATGTTAATCAGATTCTTGTTCTTTTGAACATAATCTTCTCTCTCTCTTTTTTTTTAGGCTTTTATATTTTTCTCCTTGTCATTGTATATTCTTAAATTTCACTGTAATGTGTCTGAATGTAGGTTTTTCCTATCTTTTTCTTTGGATAGTCTATAGACCCTTTCATTTTTTTTTCTTTTTTGTTTGTTTGTTACTTTTTTGTGGGGTGTCCCTTTCATTTTTAAATCAAAATAAAATAGTGCTAAAATAAAATGAGATTTTAGAAAAAGACTTGGACATTTTATTTAGTGTTAATTCTAAGAAATGCATCTCCATTCTTTTTTTTCATTATTTCTTAAAATATTTTCTTTCTTCCAATTTTGTTTCTCTAAGACTCCTAATACTTATCTATATTTTAGTTCTAATAATTCTACCCTCATACTGATTAGATTTTCTTTCATATGTTTTATTTCTTGATCCTTTTCTTCATCCTCCTGAGAGATTACTTTAATTTGGATTTATAATTCACTAATTATTTTATTTCTTTTTCAGTGTATCCGTTATTCTATTTTCCATTTTATAGTTTTCTTTTATTCAGCTATTATATTTTCATGTGTTCTATTTCTGCTTGATTATTTTGGCCATTTTTATGCTTACTTGTTTTTATTTTATATCATAAATTATTATAAATACTTTCCTTTATTTCTTTTGGAATATATATTAGGCTAATTTTAAAAACTTGTTTTCATGTGATCTTTTTATTTGTAAAATTTTTGCTTTTGCTATTTCTAACACTGTGTGTGATTTAATATTTAAAATAGTTATTTTCTTCTAATGTTTTGACATTGTGACCTGTGAGCACATTTTCTTTAGGGAATATTGGCTACTATGAAAAATAGTGTCTATATGAGAAGGTCAGTTCCCTATTCATTTCAGTCTCTATGATCTTAGTAGAGGAGATGTGAATAAAATCTAGGGTAAGAATCTTGGACACCAGGAACCACTGTCAATCACCTCTCCCCTCAAAGCCACTTCTCAGATCAGGAGTTCATTTTTTTCTACTGGAATGAAGAATTGTCTTGAGCAGTATGTTCTACCTTGTTGAAAATAGTTTATATTAGATGTCTTTAGAAATTGTGAGTTTGTTTCTAATAATAATACGTTTCCTTATTGCTATGTTAATGATTTTGTTTTACTGAAAAGTAATCTGTTTTTTAACAAGAATAATAAACTTTTCTTTATAAAATATTTCTCCAGTAGCCTACTACTCTATGAAATAAACATAAGACTTAGACTGTAATACCTAAGTGACTTATACTTTTGACAACAGTAGATATAATTTAGCTTTGTAAGTCTTTTCTAATGTGTATGCAATCTTTAAATTTTCACTAACATTGTCCTCATATCTTTTAATGGAGAAAAATCTCTTTAGAGTGCATGAAATGTAACATACTTTGAAATTGAAACCAATTGTCTAATGATATTCAAAAAGTGATTAGCCATTTACATGAAACAGAGTAGTACCTACAGCGTAAAATTAAATAGGATATTAATCATTGTGCTTCAGGGCATAAATTAGACAATAACCAAGGTCAGGAGAAGATATACTATACCTACAGTTAAGTACGATTAGATTCGTTATCAGAATTTCAGCCCAATTTCTAAGGAAAAATGCATTGGATACAGTCTGACCAGGTAATATGGACTCAGGGAAATGCTGTGTTTAAGAATCTATCACTTTATTGTTGCAGTGTGTATGTAATATGGCTTCTTTTCTTCTTAAACATTTCTGTTATTTGACACTGCTGCATTGAAATCCATCTGAATTCAAGCTCTTCAGTGAAAAGTACCCTTTCCATAGTTTCTTCCCTCTTCCTTGTCCCTCACTCCCTATCTTTTTGTCTAGCATGTCCATTATGTTTCTCAAATGTACAATGTACAATTCAGGTTGGTGATGCCTCAGCTTATAACTAACAGGGTTTTCAGGAAAAGATCTTGGAGACTTTAATTTTACAAATATAGTTAAATGACTCAGATGTTAAGGAGATATCTGCTTTTAGAATTTCTTCTTAATTGTATTATTCTGCCATTAATACTCATCATTTATTCAATTTGATCAACTTTGTTTCTATTTTTCAGGTGAGAAAATTGAAAAGGAATAAAAGCCCCCCTTAATTAGCTCTCTTCTAACATCCAAGAAGTAAAAATGCATTTTAAAACAATGAGTTTATATAAAATTAAAATGAGTTTTAATAAATAACAAAAAGGACTGATATATGAAAACACACATCAGAATACCATTTGCAATCTGTAATGTTCTTATTGATATGCACATACACTTATGTATTAGCCTGCTTTTCCACTATACTTTCAAAGTTCTTTTTCTTCACAAATGTACAATATTAATTATATGTAGTTTAATAGAGTATTATGTCAGAAACTAATTTTGAACTAATTATGTCAGAAACTAATAATGTGTCCTTTATTTACATTTCTTTCCAGTCTGATTTTAAAAGTATTAAGAAAATTCCCTTAGTTTGAATTGGAGTTTTACAAAAAGTGGGACTAAGGAGTCTGCAATAATCTGGCTATAGTTTTTGATTACTTGTATTGCTTCTTGTCCTTCAGGGAAGAAATGTTGCTCTTGGTTGACTTCCCAGAAATGAAATAAAGATACTTAGAATGGAAATATTTTAAATGTTCAAATTTTACCTTTTAAATGTAGCTTGTTCTGAAATAATGAATGTTGAGTTATGAATATTATTTAAATTTAATTTTCTTGTAAGATAAAATCAATAAGCACATTTCAAATAACAAATTGGTGCAATTTTGAGTTGTGTATACAGCATCTTAGCATTCTGAAAAATTGTTCCCAAGAAGCACTTTAAGAATTGCAGTGTTTCTGTAATTAGACATACACTATAGCCATTAGAGGCAAAAGCAGTTTTAGACTACTTTTGGTTACCAGCTAGGATATTTAGAATAATCTAGAACATTAAGTGTACAATGAGAAAAAGTATGTCTTCCAAGAAGGAAAGAAAGTTTCTTACTTAATTAACAGTGTAAAATACCTCTTGACTATGAGTTGCTGGTAGCACTGATGGTATTAGGAAGGCTTCCAAAATGTTCAACCATTATATCTAATTTATGATATACAGTGAACTTTCCAGCTTTGCTAATATGTATAATGATTTTTGTCTAAATCTTATTCACCAGGTAATGTTCTGGATCAAACTTTCATTAATTTTGTAAATATTAACCAAAATTTTTCTTCACAAGTGAACTAATTTCTCCTTTCTCTTAAACACAAATACCTTTTCTCAACATATCTTATCCACAAGTATCCTACAATGATTTTACAGTCAATGAATACTCTTGTTTAAAATTAAAATGCTATATATTACAAATTATTATTAACAAAATGACATTTAATATATACAACTAAATATACCAATATTCACCAAGAATTTGATTGATATTTTCTTCCTTTTTCTTCTAAAGCTATCTGGAAGTATTTTGGACGTGTATAGTGGTGAGCAGAGAATTTCATCAGCTAACATGGGACTTACAAGTGCTTCCTGTCCAAGCAGTCTACCAATGAAAAGAGAAATTACAGGTAACGTTGCTTTTATATTTTATCCTTTTTAAAAGTCGACTACATAAGACATGACTAACATACATTTCCAAGCTAAATAGAATTTCAAATAAAAATATTTGAAAATATTCTTATTCTATGACAACCAAGCAATAAGTTAATATAATTTACAGTTCAGCTGAATTAATTAATTATTTTAGTAATTGGGCATATTTCTAAACACATAACCTCTATCATATGTATATGACAGCTTGACTAAGTTCTTCACTTAACATAGGTTCATTTTGATATTGAAAGATGCAACTGACTAACATGGCTGCAAAATAATAAATTAATAGATTAGAGGAAGTTAGATTTTCCCCTTTTGAGCTTGTTTTATGGGTTTTATGATTCACATTTAACTTCCTCACATGGCTAAAAAACTCCTTGGTTTTCAATAGTAAATTTTTAAATTGTTGCAACTGAAAGGAATTATAATGGCACTGTCAGTTTCCTCCAGTATATAAATGAGGGAATCAGGAATCAGAGGAATTGTTTTCCCAAAGTCATACAGCTGAATAGGAGCAGAAATGGATCAAAATAAGGATTTTCTGACTTATAAGTCCAGCGTTAGTGTCTCCATAAAAATAAAATAAAATTCAGTTGAAATTTCTGTATCAAGTTTTTAGTTTGGAACTCAGACACCAGTCTTTAAATTTTTTTATATAGTTAATATCAATATTCTTACTAAATGCAATATATTCATTTTGGTGTCTAATCAATAACTCAAAAATGTCTATGCATTCAAATTACTTAGACTAAAATTAATTAATATATGTTTAAAAGACAAATGTAAAAATGTACAAATGTTCTATACCTCTATTTTAAAAACTAGAATAATTCAAAGAACACTGTATTAATTATCTTTTGATGTATAACAAATTACCCCAAACTTAACAGCTTGAAATAATAAACATGTATTATCTCATACAACCCCTGTGGTTCAGAAATAGAGGGATGGATTAGAAAATTTGTTCCAGCTCAGAGTCTCTCTTAAGATTGCAGTCCCGATGTTAGCCAGAGATACAGACTCTTGCCACATGACAGCTGGAGGATGAGCTCCCGTGGTGGTTCACTCACGGGTCTGGCAAGTTAGTACTGTTTATTGGCAAATGACCTTGGTTCTTTACCTTGTAGACCTCTCCACAGGTCTGCTAAAGTGTCCCCATAATAACAACTGGCAATCCAAGGGACACCAAAGTGGGAGCTGGAAAATGTCTCTTATGACCTAATCTTGGAAGCCACAATAAAAAGGATTAAGCAGTTTATTTGTTTATTTATTTTATTTATTCATTTTTAATGAAGCACTGCAGATTGGACCCTGGACTTCCTGCATGCTGAGCATGCGCTCTACCACTGAGCTATACCTTCCTCTGATTAAGTAGTTTAATATATTCTGCATACTGTACCTCTTTTAATCTTCACAATGATTATCAAGTAGGTATTATATTATACCAATTTTACAGATGAAGAGACTGAGACACAAAGAACTTCGGTACACAAGGCTATTAAATGGAGAGCCAGAACAGAAATCAGGTTTTACTACTCAAAGCCCATAGGTTTTGCAACTGCCTCTCACTAAAAGAACACTCTGTTCCAAATTTCTAAGTATTTGCAAAAAATTATTATGCCATTTGGAGCAAGTGATATTGTATTTTTACCTAGCATTTCTGAATTATGTTGACTAGAAAGATTGTAAGGTAGAAATAAGTACTGTTTCAATTGTCTTCCTTTTGACCAGAAACTGATACTCGAGCTTTGGCAAAAGAGAGACAAAAAAAGGACAACCACAACCTCAGTGAGTATATTTTCCTTTTTTTCTAAACAAAATTAATTTATTTAAGACAAAATGCTTAGAGGTTAAAATGTGTGATCTTTTATTGTCGCTCCATAAATATTTTGAGATCAGATGAACCAAAATTAATTGTACATCTCACTAGAAGAGCTATTTTGGGAAATTTAAACACTGTGATCTCTCAGAAAAGCTGTACATTTTTATGAAGTGAAACATCTCAAGTTCTCTCCTTGATCATTCTCTCCCTCTCAAGAGAGCTTCATGTGACAGAGATGAGTACATTGGGTTACATTTGAATTCTGTTGTGACTCATTGACTGCAAGGTTTAAAGAGATAAAAGTGACTTTAGAAAATGTACCCCATTTAAACAGTAAGAATCATAACTCCAGGTTCTTATCTTTCTGTGTCAATCTGCTCCTTCCTTCCTAGTGATAAGTTATCTGAAAGTATTGCTTATGTTGTACTGATGAATTCCACTGCTGCAAAAAAGGGGGGTTCAGATGCCTTCCTGGGGGTCAATTTGACTCCGATAATGGGTCACATGAGATGGATAAATGCAGTCAAGGGAAGTTGTTTAGGGGCAAGGTGAGCTTTAGATGCTTCGTCATGTCTCGAGTGCTTAACTGTCCCAAGTGAGCTTGACTAATTGAATGTGAAGCCTTTTTGTTCTGGGAACCAAATCAACAAATGACAAAAGTATAGAATAGAATAAAAATAAATACAAACTTTAAAGCTCTAAAACAAACCAGGAATTTCTTTACATGTGGTCAGTTGAAATAGATTTTACGTGTACCTGTGAAACCTGCATCTGTCTGTTCATAAAGCACCTGCCTATGTCACAAAGTAGGCTGACCATGTGAGTGAGGAAAGAACTGACAGGTGGTTACAACAGTCCTTGGAGTAGTCCTGGAAAGGGAAATGACCTGATTCTGATCCGTTAGAGGCAGAGCAGTTAAGTGTTGGTCCAGATTATGAAACAAGTAGAGCATGAGTTTGGGGAGCTAATTGTTGGCAGAAAGAATTGATACATCAAGGAAGTGCAGACTTCTCTCTTAGTTTTAAACCTACTAACTACTCTTCTCCTTGCTTCTTTCCTCTGTTTGCACTTTAAGCGACAGGTCATTTCATGTAAAGTATGACAGGTGCCCGGTATGCCCATTATCAAAGTGTTTTCTAATCTGGATTCCATTCGAGAGTGATCTTGCTTTTTGGAGATAGCAATGTCACAAAAAAACTAACATCACGTTTTAAATGTAAATCTAGGCCAACCCTTAACATTTATGAAGATCATGGCTAGAGGACAAAGTCCCACTTACCATTTGTCTAAATACTTAACAGTTATAACAAGTCTAGAAGTGCTTAATTAAGTATGCTCTATCCTCCCTAAAGACTGGAAGACGAGGTGTGAAATTATGATTCTCAGATCCTTGGAATTCTGAGTGGGAATGTCAAGGTGGGGCAATGCCAGCCCATAGCCAGCAGCCCATTTCATTTTTCTCTCTACCCCCTATTCCATTCAGTGCTGCAAGTGGTCTCAAACATGAGTGTGAATCCTTCATCTTGTATTTTGAAGTTTCATAGATTTTTCTACAAACAACTGCTGCTTGTCTGTGTCTTGGGCCTAGAGTGAGCACCCTGGAGTCATGAATCTCCCTCAGGAGGATGGACGTGGGAAGCAGTCTACACAGGCTCTGGAAGTGGGCTCCGGGCATTTGGGAGGATATACCTGGGGCAGATTACCCAGAGTGTAGTTTAGAAGTGGAGGTCCCTTTGCCCTGTGGCTGCCTTGCTCAGTAGGGATGGGTGTGGTAAGAAAAGGCCCTAAAGGGGGCTTCTCTTTAGTATGGGAGAGAGGCACCTCTTGCCTCAATCTAAGGACAGAAATGAATGAATATGTCAAAAATTTTGTGAAGAGTGAAATCACATATAGCATTAGATAATTTAGCAATTTCTTGAAACTTGACTCCTTTACAAACAACTAGTGTACTGAATCTGAGAACATTAAGGAACCAAACTTCTCATTATAATTATTCATTAATAATTTGATTGAGCACAATGTAAGAAGAGTAGAGTAGGAATTTCTGATATTTTACATAAGGTGTATTTAAATAATAGATTTTGAAGAAACATTATAGGACTAAACCAGTCTCCTATTTTGAGATAAAACTGAACATCCCTCATAGCTGCTCTTCATCTTATATTTAAAAATCTGTTTTATAATATAGGAGTGAGTATGTGTGAGCATAGAATTATTCATAAATTCTCACTGTAAAATATAAATATATTTCTATCAGTTTTATCTTTGTTTATTTTCTTTTCAGTTTTTTTGTGTGGTGTAAGTTTTTGAATCACATGCCCAGGGAAAACAGGATTTGTAAAGAGGGAAAATAAACTCTCTCAAGAATCAATTATATCCTAATTTCAGAGGACTCCCAATGTATTATTCCTCAAGGTCAAATTCATTCATGTTAAATTGCTTTGTAGAGTCAGTTCACCAAGACAATTGATATTTCTTCATGTCTTTCCTTGTTTCCAGTCGCAGATCTTATTTTTCAAGCATGTATTTACTGTTTTGACATACATTTTTCTTTTTCTTCATGAATTTTTTCTTCCTTCATTTCCCTGAAAAACTTTAAAAATGTTATCTACTGAGAAAATATATGTAAGTTGTGGTTCCTGATACTGGAAATGTAGAGTAGACTATAAGACTACTCTATGCTCTGTAAGATTGCTCTTAGGTCAGGGTCAGTATAGGGAACTCTACTTATTTGTGTATTTGGTTTGTATATTTAACATTTATTGAACATTTGCTAGATGCGTAAAATTTCCCTAAGCAATGAATGCATGGAAATACAAACAGAGAAAAGAGTCTCTGAATAAAAACCTATATCAATAGTTCTCAAAGTATGGGCCCTAGACAAGCAGCATCAGCATCACCCGGGAATTTGTTAAAAATGCACATTCTTGGGTTCCAACCCAGACCCACTAAGATCAGAGTCTCTAGGTATGGGGTACAAATAGATTTTAACAGTCCCTCCAAGTGTGTCTGATGCATGCCAAAGTTTAAGAATCATTGCTCTGTATGTTACTGAAAGTTGTCAAACTAGAAAACTATATTTATAGTCTAATCAATCAATATATATTTATTTAGCATCTCATATATGCCAAGCCCTCTGGGGACACAAAATGAAGTAAGAAATGGTCCTTGCCCTTAAAGAAGTCATGGTCTACTTGGGCACACACACCTATCATGTGCCAAACTGTGTTAGCCTTTTAATAGAGTATATGAGAAGATATGCAAGGAGAGAATATATATACATATATAATTTCAGTATGAGTAAATATTATAGCAATATTATAGGATTTCAAAGAATGATAAAAACGTTGTTTTTGAGAGTAAGTGTTTTTAAATCATTGTGAACAATAGAATCATAATTTTAATGTTATTTTTACTTTTAGAATAAAACATTTAAATTTTTATTTTATTGTTGAATATTCTTTTGACTAAATGGAAAATTTTTGCTCATTGTTTTTAAAATATTATTATTAAAATTTATAACTGACCAAAGTGAATTCTTTAATGAGAATAATCAATAATATTTCTTTTTTAATAGTTGAAAGAAGAAGAAGGTATAATATTAATTACCGAATCAAGGAGCTTGGCACTCTTATTCCAAAGTCTAATGATCCGTGAGTTCAAAAAATCATTTCTCTAATAGTGTTATGGTTTCAATAACCCCCAAAATGAGTGGGAGGGATGAGGGGAAGGGGAGAGCCAATGACTAGGAAACTAAGCAGCTTATGGCTAAGTTAAGGCTACTGCTGGTCTCATTTTAAAATGTCTGTTCAAGTTTGAGAGTTATTAAGCATCAAGTTTGTTACACACGTCGTTTTGAGCTATAGGAAATAAGTAAATGATTTCTTCTCAGTACCTAGTGGATCATTCTGTGTGGTACCAGTATTAGCAAATTTAGTAGTATCAAATGCTTTCATGATAACGATATCTTCAGTTTATGGTTATAGCAATTCTTCCAATTTAAGTTTTGCCCCTGATTCCCTCCTTTCCTCTTCTATAATGACTGTTAAGTAAGCACAACTTGCCATGGAGAGAAATGAATTTTTTCAACAAAGCAGTGTTAAGCAAGCCTTTACTGTCTTATTAGCAGTGGTACTTTTCTTAAGCAGGAGTTTGAATTACTTGACATACTGCTTTCCGTTTGTTGTCTTCTTTCAGGTTGCCTTTTAGAATGCAGCAAATAAAGATCAGCTACTTTAAAAAATGTGTACATAAAAATTGGATTGTTGAATTTTCAGAGGTTTCAAAATTTTGGAGATATTCAAGCAAAAAAATGGAATTTTAAAAACATACTGGTTGATGCCAACCAGAAATTGGTTATTGTAATTAAATTTTCAGCCAAGTTTTGGTATCATACAGACACAATGTCAGTTAACAAGATGTTTGAGGTTATAAATTTCAGGAAATAGCTGATTAATCAACATATCGATTTAGAATATTGAGTGTTTCTCCAAAATCATGAGAACATTGTAGCATTAATAATGACCTAAAAAAATTTTTTCTTCTTCAAATTAAGAAGTCCTGGACTCTCCAAATACTGGCAATTAACTATTATTCAGAAATGATGATGTTTGATAAAGTGGTATTTGTAAAATTTGTAAATACTCTTTCCCTAAATTCAAATGTGCTGATTTACTAGGACAAGTTAATCATCTGCAATGGAAGGAAATGCCATATTTATTCTCATGGGCATTCAGGATAGTGACGACATCTAGAGTAGAATGGCAGAAAGAGCACTGGATGGAGAATCTGAAGACCTCAGTCTTGGTGTAGGTCCTACTAATAGCTTTTCAAGTCTTTTGAAATGTCTAAGCATACAACTCTCTATTAGCAGAAAAGAACACCCATTTTCCAGATAGGACTTTTTATTAACACTTAAAATATAACTGCACATATTCACTAAACATTTGCTATAAGGCCAAACAAAGCCTTGAATATATATTTCAATTTCTTTCTAACATAAACTGCACAAAAACATATAATCTATTTTGATTTCCTAAAGATAAAACAAAAACCTAAGTGCCAACAACCTAAGTGTACATGGATTTTTAAAAAATATTTGCACCTTAATTTGTTACAGTATATTTTTAGCAACCTATCTTTACTGACGTTTTATTTGAGTTTTTCGAAAGCCTTTAATATACTTTCCCTAAAAGCAATAGCTATTTTTATAAATAATCTTTATTTTCCATTCATATTTCATTAGCTAACATGTATATAATTTAATTATACTCTCACAATAGTAAGTACAATAGGCATTCATTTAACAGCCTGTCAGTAAGTACATGTCACCACAAGGATAACAGAAGTACCTGGGTGTCTCAGAAGGTAACCTAGTGGCCTCTATTATCTACTTTGTTCTGACAACAGGCAATGAGTGTCACAAAGGGAACAGAGAACATTAATTAATCCTGAAAGTGATTAGATAAAGGTCAGTTAAGAGAGCTTCTCTTGTAACTGGTAGAGCTAACCCACAGTGCCAGGGCAAGGTTATATGCAGAAAACAGATGAGACTGTAAGATTGGACTCTGAAGCCTAACTGAACATCTTTAGATGTCACCATGCCCATAAAGCACCAAATATATTATACACACACACACACACACACACACACACACATATATAATCAGATAATATGTATGAGAATGCCTCAAAATTATAAAGCTTGTGTGAGGGATAATTATTATTCTACATTTTTATAGAAACTTTGGTTATAAAATGGCTCCTTTCTAGTTCTAATTCATTGTCTAGAACAGAGGATGGCAAACCTTTCCTCTAAATGGCCAGATAGTAAATATTTCAAGGTTTGTGAGCATAAAGTGTCGTAATTATTCCCCTCTGCCATTGTAGCATGAAAGCAGACATAGACAATATGTACATGAATGAGCATGATGAAGTCCAATGAAACTTTGGTGACAAAAACAGGCTGTGGGCTGCAGTTTGTCTACCCTTGATCTAGAATACAAAAATCAGTTCATCACAGAATCAGAGCTGAAAGGGACCATAATTGGGAAAACTTTGTTATAAGCATTCTTCAGTGGTTTCTCTTCCTTGTAGATTTCAGAAAGGGGGTTTAGTAATTGTTTTAATTGTATTATGTCATATGTAGGCACTAAAAATACCAGAGTATTACATATTACACATAAGGAAGATAACAGTACCTCATGAAATCTATGTTGCTGTTCTACATGCAAAGAGAGCACTGGATCACAATAGAAAACACATTTCTTACGGCAGATGCGTTTGAAAAAGGAAGAGAGCCACAGATTTGCAGAAAGCACTGAATTGAGAGAGGAGACCTAGGACATATTTTCTAAACACCACATGCTCTTGGGCAAACAGCAGAAACTCTGAAGCTTTGGTTCTAAAAAGGCTCTGAGGACCTTTCCAGCTCATGACTAGAATAAACTTAGGGGTTGGCTTAGGAAATGAACGCTAACACATGAAGACATTTTGAATTCTATGAAGTTGCCATTTTTGTGTATCAAAAACATTCAGAAATTTGTACTTTGCTAGGTCAAAACAGTAAGATTGAAGGAAAATAAATAGTAAACAGCTGTTGTTGAGATAAAAGGTTGAGAAGATTAAATGAAAAACAAACAACAGGAAATGATGATCTCTTAACCATTAGTGAAAAATAAAACCAAACAAAATTAACAAAAAGTAAAGCATTTCTACAGATATATGGTGGTGATCTACTTTATATGTGCTTTTTAAATCATATGTCCAAAAAAGTCATGTTCATAGATATAAAAATGCCAACAGAGCATGGATTATTCTATTGATGCTATCAAATTATGCTTTTTTCTAATATATATATATATATATATAAAAATATATATAATTGATTACTTTTTAAAAACTAAATTGATTTTTTTTCTTCTACAGTCAGAACTTTCTCCTGCTTTTGTGTAAGAATGGCAGTTGAGGTAGTAAATGAAACCTAACAAGACTTTCTAAAGTAGAAGTTATAAAATGTTGATCAAAACAAGAAGAATCAGGCATGTTGTGCTGTTTTCTTTCTTTTTTGTTTTTTTTTAATGCTTTTAAGTGGATGTGTACCACTAAGATGACAACAGATAGTTTTTCCATAGTTCTGCCTGGCAGCACTATTATTTCAACTTATATATTTCTGTTTCCTGCTTTAGCCCTACATACATTCAAGCATTTAACTCCCCCAAAGTTTTAAGTTTTTCAAAGAAAATTATTTTGTAGAAAATGAAAATGACTAGCTGCTTGAAATTATTTTGGGAGAGAAGCAAACATCTCCTTAATAAATTTGGAAAAACTTGGAATATTTTATGAAAAAATCTCATATATAAAAATGGTTTTAAAATAGAGTGAACCTTAAAAAATTTAGTGAAATGACATCAGGTAGATACAGTAGGAAAACCTATTGTGTGGTTTCTACCACCACTTTGAACATTTATTTTACACCTAAATAAACAGAACCTTAAACTTTAAAGTTGACTAATGTTATTCTTTTCATCTTATTCCTTTTGTCCTTCAAGTTTTCCTTCCCATGAGAAGAAATGAAACAAAATTAGGACCATAAGGCTCCTGCTGATCCTTAGAGTTCTAATTTAGGAGTTCACTACACTTTTCAGTGACAGACACCTTCTTGGTTTAATGGCAAAAGGAACCTCGTTTCCCCTACCTTTCCCACCACCAGATAAATCACTGTGAGTGGAATGAGATCAACAGCTGTTATGGCCCCAGAGAACTGACAAAGCATTTTCAAACTTGAGGCAGACATGACAATGGTTTGGTGCACTTCAGTGGAAGGTGACTTATTCAGGCATTTTCACCTAATAAGCATTTTCACCTGTGGTAGAAAAATGTATCTTCCTTTAATTTGTTACAGCTGATGGAATTTTCTTTTAACCTGAATTTCTAGTGAGGCATATGCCAGTCAGATTTTTCATAAGCAGTATTTTCCCAGTTCTGGGCACTTAATAAATACATATTAAGTTCCATGTAGTTCATGTAGATCACATTAACCAAAAATACATGCAGTGTAATGTCTTTTAAAAGTTTCCCTACAAGCTTACTTTATGCTATATTAAAAGAAATCTTATGAATCTAAATTGAAAATTCATCTAGGTTTTTTCCAGCAACTTGGAATAACTTTTAGAAATTAGTTTGGCCTCATTCTCCATACATATTATCAATTCTCAGATAGTATTAAATGCACTGATGTATGTTTTTAGATATTAAAATCAGTAGCCTGTTCTGTAATTCCAGATTTATTATTTATCCTGAAGTTTTAATAACGTATTTCTCTATGCTATAGCCTGAAGATTATCAGCACTTTCTAGTTATATTTACTTATCTTGAACTTATTCAAAAATAGATATCCAGCCTTAAAAAAAAAAGTATTGTTGGTTTTTCTGCAGAAAAACTTGCCTAATGATTCTAGAAAGTTTTGCTCTATTGCATAAAGTGATGTTGCCAAACTGATTTGTTTCACAATCACTCAGGATCATCATTCAGAAGGGACTTTATTTTTTTTTTCTCAGAAGCATAAAAGCAACCATATTAGAAAGTAGGTTAAAAGATTGGTACATTTGAAATGATCTTAAAAAATTTAGGCTTAAGTCCTCAGTAATGTACATTTCCTAGTTCATTAATGCAGAAATGCCGCACATAGATTTTAATCTCAGAGTTAATAATAAAAGCAATTTTCACTAAAAATATAAAAACTGTAATGGTAGAATCATGATATTGCATTTAGCTCTCCCACAAAAAGTCACTTTATTACTTTCTTTTGACACTTATTTTCATTCTGGGATTAATTTTACTATATAAGGGCTTCTTAACTATTCTATTAAAATTTCTATTCAGAAGCAATAATATCTAAGAGTGAATAATAGTCATGTAAATCATTATTTCATATTAATGTAAAAGATTTTGTAAGTTCTTATGAATTCTGCTGACACGCACAATTGTGAAAAGGTTATCTCTTCGTTCTACAGTGATATGCGCTGGAACAAAGGAACCATTCTAAAAGCATCAGTGGAGTACATCAAGTGGCTACAAAAAGAACAACAGAGAGCTCGAGAATTAGAACACAGACAGAAGAAATTAGAACAGGCTAACAGGCGGCTTCTACTCCGGATTCAGGTTTTTATAAGAACGTTGTCATGAACCACGTAGCTTACCTGTCATCAGTTTTATTCATTGGTCTAATTTATTTTTTTCTTATTAACAATTATCTTTCCTTTCCATGGATAATTTTATTGCCTTTTAGAAGTTTATGAAGTAGGTTGATTCGATTAGGTTTTGATTAGATATCCAGAGCCAAGATGGTTTTAAAATATGTAATGAGTGACAATTGCAAAGTGCAGAAAAAAGAATCAGTTTTATAAACACACATGATATTATCCCAGCTGAAAAATAATAATAAGCAGAACTTTTTTGTTTCTCTAGATAATATTGGACATTAAATTCTCCTCTCTTTTATTTCTTTAGCAACATTGCTATGGATTTCATTGCCGAAAGGCATATTGTGCCAGTTTATATTGTCACTCCTCATCTGTTCATGCGACACAAAATCTCAAAATATAGATTTTCATTACTCTCAAGTTTTTTTCTTTAATATGTGAGCATGCTTATAACCAGGTAAAACACTTACTCTGTTTCTAAGAAAATAGTGAGAATTAATCAGGGAGAATGAATGGAAGATTTCCTCTGTCTCCAAATAGTTGTATTGTAGTCTGAGCCCCTAAGGGACCATTGTATGTAATGTATTCCTTTAAAGAACAATGGGAGTAGAATTTTTTTAAAAATCTGAGTATTTTTCTCAGAGTTGTTTTTCAGGCATTAGGAATATACTGCACTCTGTTATTTGCAAAGTGAATGTTTGTTAATATTTTAGATCTATTTTTGGCTTATTCTTTAGAGTTGAGTTCACTTTTAAAGTCATTATTTAATTATTCTTATTTGAAATTGCAGGAACTAGAAATACAGGCTCGTGCTCATGGTCTGCCAACCCTGGCTTCACTTGGCACAGTTGATTTAGGTGCTCATGTCACCAAACAACAGACCCATCTTGAGCAGAATTCAGTAGACTATTGCCAACAATTGACTCTGTCTCAGGGGACAAGCCCTGAGCTCTGTGATCAAGCTATGGCCTTCTCTGATCCTTTGTCACACTTCACAGATTTATCATTTAGTGCGGCTCTGAAAGAAGAACAAAGATTGGATGACATGCTACTGGATGACACAATATCTCCGTTTGGAACAGATCCTCTGCTGTCTGCCACTTCCCCTGCAGTTTCCAAAGAGAGCAGTAGGAGAAGTAGTTTTAGCTCAGTTGATGGTGATGAGTTATAAAAATTAAACAGTCTCAATTCATCAACTGGGAAGCAATTCTATGCTGGTGCTATGCAATTAAGTTCTGTGTTTCATATATTGCTTTGGCTTATTTTTTCTGAAAGGAATATATTGTTCATGAAAACTGATTGATTAGAAATAACAGAAGAATTCACAAGAAGAAGAAATATGGTATTGAAGAATTATGGAGCGCTAAAAAAGATTTATCTTCTCTTTGACTACCGAGTCCAAATCTTCTTAAATTTTCTTCTCTTGGAAAGAGGCACAACAGAAGAAACAGGTCTCTACTGGTATTTTAAAAGTAGTGACTTGGTGATGTGCTATTGAAACTAAACAGACTGCAGAGTATAAACCTGAAACATACAAATGTTTTTCTACTTATTTACTTCCATCACCTTCCTACTCAACTCTGATAACAGTAGTTTTCAAGAATCAAGATCAACAGGTCTGGTGGTTCATTGCCTTTCTCCATTGTCTGGTAGACATGTCTGAAGTTCAAGCATTATAGAGAAAATAATTAAAAGATGGATTATCTGCCACTTCCAATTAAAAAGTGAATCTACAATAAACATTAGAATTTTCCACAATAAAATACAGAAAATTTACAAAAAATCTTGGATTCTAAAATTACACCATAATTCCCTTTGTCAGTTCAATCACACTAATTCTCAAAGCATTTTTGCATATTTATGGAGACATGCTCAGTTCAGAAAAGGAACACATTGAATACTTTCCTCAAGAATATTGACTAGAATTTTATTGCTTCACACAAACATACCCCCACACACAGGTACACAATGCAGGTAGCATGTGCCCTTTTCCCCCTTTTATTCTTCTGATTTTCTAGTCAGCATCTGAAATCATGTTCCAAATCTTTTTTTCTTCATCAATAAGATATTGGGTAATCAGTTTCAGCAAATAAAATATCAAAAGTCCCCCTTACTAGGACAATTTGTCAATTTGTTAAATAAAACTAATCACTGTAGCCAAAATTGGGTCTAAATTAGTTATTTGATACAGTTTTGCTCCAAAATGACAAAATATTGAAAATTGGATTGCCAACTGGCAAAATAATTAGTAAAACAGAAGATCGTTCTTATTACATTCAGCTCGAGTGGAGGATAAAGTTCTATTCCTGTAAGTACTTAGAGTACCCTGTGATCTTTGAGCTTTGTTAGCATTTATTAAGAATATTTAAATCTATGCTGCTTTACTTAGATTTTTCTCCCTTGAGCTTCTTTTAAGCATTAGGTGGTGACTGACCAATCATGTTGCTCTGTGCTGGACCTGTGTGAATGATCATCTAATTAATGAGTATTTATGGAGGGATACTCAAAACTGCAGTGGGTTCTGTGAAAATGTAGAGCAGATGAGCAAGATCTTACTCCTTGGGAAGTTAACAAAACTACCTGAGAAATAACAACAAAAGATAGAAAACATTTAAAATTAAAGTCTACATAGTGCAGCGTAAGCTACAAACACAGAAGGTCAGAGAAAATGAAGATGAATGAAGGTTGGAGAATCACCAAAGTCTGTGGGAACAATACAAATTAACTCCTTTTAAAAGCATAATTTGATGAATGAGAAATTATTTAGGGGAATAACATCAACCAAATTATGGAAGTGAAAACAAGTTGGGAAAGTGTCTTCATGAGATATTCATTTAGAGAGTTCTGGCCACCCTAGAAGATGCCTGTTGGGAGTCCTGGAAAATATTAAGTTGTGGAAGCCCTTGAAAACCAAGATGAAATGATGTAGTAGAAATAGATTTTTTTTTAACTAGGAGGGAGAAGCTTAAAAATTAAAATGCTACTGCTATGTTACCAATGCAATTGAGATGTAATCTTTCATGAATGTTAACTTTGGAATAAGTTTTTGAAAGGGCGCTTCAGGTATTACAGGAAAAATACGTCATCACAAACTTTGAGACTTTAATGCTAATGAAAGTGGGAAAATATTAAATTCTTATGATATATTAATTATCTCAGGCTTAGCTTACAGCATTAGCTCAGAACTTGGAGAATAAAAATAATTTTCATTGTTTGACATGGAAAAATTTCTTAATTTATAAGAATAGCCTGAAAACAGATAGGTAAATTCATCTTAAATAGGCCATGTTAAAGAGAGCAATAAGATACACTCCCTCAAGAATTTTCAAGAGAGCATTATTAACTTTACAACAAAATTCCATTCTATTGTCTGTTGATATTTAATAGTGCAAACGATAAAGAAGGAATATATTTGGGGGTCAATGGAAAACACATCATTCTAGGTAGACCGTAAATTCTGTTCTCATTTTATACATTGTTCTAATTTCTTTGTATTCTGAGAAAACTTACACTGACAATATCATTACTCTGTCATCATTTCCCATTCTGCCAAAGTACTACCACCCAGACTTGAAAGACATTTCTTATAATCTTAGCTAGTAAAGGGCTTGACACTGGATGATAGAGTATGGACAAAAGAGATCTGGAAATGGTATTAATATTTGCTGCTACTTTCAGATTATAATAACTATCAGAGGATTGTAAAATGGATTTTTAATTTTAAAATTTTAAAGACAGTAAATAGTAAAGGTGTTGTCACAGTCAACTGAAGTAAATTCAAAAATTAATTTTAGTCAGTAGTTCTTAACGTTTTAAGGCTTTGAGAATCTAGTGAAAGTTATGGACCCTCTCCACAGAAAAAATACAGAATTGTATATACAGCCCCAAATTTGTATGCATTAAGAGGCGTGAAGGACCTCCTAAATGTCTCCCTGGATCCCAGATGAAGAATTCCAGCATCAGGTCTGTTGCTTAATAAATAGCACTGTAGCTACGTTATCTATCAAGAGCTAAGTGCACACTTAATGTCATATATAATGATGGAGGAAGAAGCCCTAGTTACCTGAATATCATTATCCCAACCCAAACAGTGATAAAGTTGCATAGGTAAGTGAAAGTGTACCAAACACTAGGCTATTCACTAAGAAAGTTGTTCACTTATAATTGTCCCCTTTATAATATCCCTGTTATATATACACCTTCTGTGATATACTTATGTTATATATTTATGGATCAGTTTCTCTACTGGATGTTGTTTCCTTATTGAATGTTGTAAATATCTGGCAATAGCATTTTTAAATGATATATACAAAAATCAAAGCAAAAATAATGTAAATTCCTCATGCAAATTATTTGAATATCTAAGGACCGAGAGAGATCCTTGGGAAAATTGATGGATGCCTAGAATATTTTTGCAGAAATTAGACTTAAACAGGAAAAGAAGCATATTGTTTACAAAATAATTTTGTCTTGAAGAGCTTCAGCTATCACTGGAATATGAACACACAAGTAACGATGCCTTGTTCATTCAAAGAATTAATGCATAATTGCAATCATAATAAAAACTTTGTAAAAATGAGATAAAACAATTTTATTTTTATTATTTTTTAGCTATCTTTTTAAGATAAGGTCCCATCCAAATTTTTTCCTCTATTTGTTATTAAAATATTGACTTCGTTTTGTGGATTCACATTAAGCAAACTTTCCAACACCCAGTTATCTTAAAATAACAAAGTCATCTTATTAGTAGATGTAGCTCTTCATGTTTTTTCCTTTTTAGTGTCCTTTCTTCTCAAATTTCTCCCATAACTGGAGAATATATATTCGAACCATATTGCTTCAGTTTACACATGTGGTGTCAGTGACTACAGATTTCTTTATATGGGTATAAAACTCTAAATAATAAATAGATGAGCTAAGGACATTGAGAAATAGACTTCTTCCTCCTTTTTTAACTCACTCTTTTCCATTCACGTGACTGTAAATAAAATATTTAATAGCTCTTACTTTTAAAAAATTAGACACAATCAGTTTCTTGACTTGATATGCTCATTTGCCTTTATGTCAGGGCAGAAGTTAGATTTCACAAGGTAAAAAAGAATGTTTTTTCTTTGTTTTGGTAGATTGTCATATTTGAATTTTCTTATCCTTCAAGGTATAATGAAAATATTTTTTTGCTGTTCTGATACTGTGGAATTTTGATATTTAAATAAATAAATGACATAACTAAATGTTTCAATGTTTTTATAATATCTCTAGGCTGATATTTATCAACCTTATAATATCTAAAATGTAGATGAAAACTGGAATCAGTTAATCATTTTGCCGTGTTATCAGCACTAGATCAACCATCTGGGTTTCTTGAAAATACCTGAAGGATTGAATTTTGCTTCAGTATTGATAATGGCCCAGCCTGTATCTGCTACATGGAATTACATCATTTGCCCTTCCAGTGCCCTGCTTGTTGATGAGTACAAGATGTCAGTTTGAGTTAGTGTAAGTTACATATACAGAGATTTCATTACATTTACTTAATAAATACTTAACACATTTAGAGTGTTGCTGATCTAATGTGTCTTAGACCTTCCTGTAATCATTATTCATTGTATACACCAATATTTTATCATTTGTATGATTTCTAATTTGTAAACAAAGTATTCAATATCTGATAAAAATAGTTTCCTTTAAAATTTACTGTGCTACATTTCTTTTTTCTGTGAGAGTCATAGAGAATTTGAGGATATTGGAGTTTATCAGAAAACAGTTACTTTGATTAAAAAAACTCCCACGGGATTCAACCAATTTAATGATGAAATACTGCTATCTGTTTCTTAATACATAAAAGGGAACTTTTAATGTTTTTCCTGTAAAGGGATTTGTGTATATATTTCTACATATCCAAATGTTTTCTATTGTATTTTCTAATGATGAAATCTTCAGTAAACAATCTGTTTCCTCCATTTATCCAACAGGCTTCAAGAATAAAGTTAAAGACTTTTTGTGTTTTCAATTCTACCCCTCCAATTCCTGCACTACCATTTTATTTCAGAAATTCTGTACTTACAACTTTGCTTTTTCCACAGAAATAAATTTTACTTGTACGTTATTCCAAGCTGGTGGTTATGTATAACAAACAAAATAGAAAATATGCAAAATATGCTGAAAGAATTATATGCAGTCAGGAAGTTACATATTATATTATTCTTTATCATGGCTACTGAAGTTTAAAAGCTAACCAAATTTAAGGATCTTATCTAATAGCATTGCAGTTGCTTATGGCATACAAGGCTAAAATTAATTCAGCCATTTAATCTTAATAATAACAATGTAGTTAAAAATCTTTGACTTTAATAGCATTTTATATATATGAATAGTTGAAATAATATTCCTATAATTTTAATCTAACATTGGTTAGATCAAGAAAACATTGTTAGCATAATAAGACTGTAGAATTTATAACTATTGCTATTTTTCATTTTTAGTAACAAAGTAATGTGTCTTATTTTCTAAGAATATAGAAAGCACTGGTGTTCTCTAATGCATATATGAATCTTTGTACACTTGCTTTTTAAAATGTACCAATATTTCTTTGCATATATATAAAATGAAAGCACAGAATTATTAAATGCTTTAATATACTTTTTGTTCTGCCTTTGTATATAGACTGCTCTGGAAAATACAGAATGTGTTTTAGTCATCTAAGAGGATACTTAACAGCCTCAAGATTTCACAGCTGACAACTGCTTACTTTATAGTCCATGCTGAAAACAGTGATCCAGTATTTCCTTATTAATGAAAGTAATTGTTAGATTTTAAAATATAGTCTCCTGCCATCTGCTTCTTCATGCTGTTATGGTTTTGATTTATGGAAAATATTTATCAAAATGTTGCAAAATCGCTAACAGGCATAATTGTAGCAATGAAATCACTAAGAAGCTCTGCAAAACCTTTTAATATACTAGATAGTCCCCAGACAATCTAGGATAAATAGAATGCTGTATTTTAATATGTAAAACATTTTAAATCTGCTAATTGGTATTGACTAGACCTATCCCTTGATAATGAAATTAATAAGAATTTCAGCTAAATGTTAAGACTTTCTAATATTTAATACCATGTCAATGAATTTTTTTCTACATACCTGCTTCAAAAATAATAAAATAGGATGGCTCTGAGGTGACTATAAAAGGTGGTATTCTATGTTCAAATGTAGATTCACTGCTTTTTAAAAAAATTATATCAGATAAATATTTTCTTAAAGCATTATCAATACCAAAAAATGCTGATCAATATAATAATTTCTGTGTGAAAAGAACCAGTCTAATAAGCTAAAGGTAAGTGAGAATGATTTTTTGACTCTATATAGACTGAAGAAAGTAGATACTGAATGGGTTTTATACTTGATTGTAGTGTGTGTATGTACATATATAGTGTATTTGGGTATAGAAACATGTCTGCCTATGTGGGAGCTTACAAAAAATTTTCTAATCACTTGATAGTAGGAATGACTCCACATATAATAATATGCTCTACTTCTGTTACTTTTTAATGGAAACTACATCTAGGCAACATTTAAAGCTAGCCCCAAACCTCGTCTATTAGAAACACACACACACACACACACACACACACACACACACACTCTACTCTGAGTTGAGTCAAAATGATGGAAAATAAGGAAGAAAGTTGTAACAGGTTTTAATATTTTTGTTAAAATAAGTGGCATGTGCAGCCATAAACCATTTAGATATAATACAAACATTAATTTTATTAACCACCAAGAGGAATATTAAAATCTACCTAAAAAGTCGTGTTATTATTAAAATCACCTGCAGAATTCTGGCTATGGGGTGGTTAAATGATAAAATACAGTAAGGTTTATTGGTTAAGTACTGGATACCCATCATGTTAAATATATATCAATTTCATTAATTGGCAACCATAAGACAAGAGTACAACATTCTAGATGGTGATTTTGATAGGATCGACCACAATGTGTTTAAGTATATAATTCATGTAATAAGAGAAAGGTGCCTGCAGGCTATTGTTCCTAGCATGGATTAAAATTTACATATTGCTTCTCCTTATGTCAAAACATCTGGTGCCTGCAAATGCTAGCATTTCGTTAAAAAGTTTCACAAGCCAAGAAAAGTAGATTGGAAACATTGCATGTTAATCATTCAAGCATTATAATAAAATAAGAGCTATGTTCAGAAAAAGTTAAATTGCCGCAAACAATACCATAATCAAGATTATAATTTATTTGTTTACTTAAGTGAAAGGTGATGCTGTGTGTTTTTGTGGGGAAGAATAGTGTTTGAGTTATATGGTTATCTCTTCAAAAATATTTTTTCATATAATTACATAGAAGAAATAAGTTTCTAAGTCTTCCAAGACTTTACAATCATCTATGTTAGAAGCAGTATGTAGTTGTATAAAACCCATTCTAATATTCCTAAGGACAGGAAGACAGGGATCCCTGAGACTTTATTCATTCTGGCATTAAATTTCTATTTATTCATTGGTAAATATAAAAAGTAGATTTCAGATATAGATGAATTACCTTTTCTGCACAAATTCTCAAATCGACAAAGGTAGTTCTTCCAACTGCCATCTGAGTCTGACCTCTGTTCTTTAATCTAAGGTCACTTCAAGATTTTCCTACCTTGAGGGCTCTTCTCATCACCCCAGTCAACAATGTCATGGTCTTTGCTGGCTACAGCATTAGCTGCTACTTAAAAATCTATCTTTGTATTGTTGTTTATTATAGCCATACTAGCTGCTCTAACTATCTTTGTATTGTTGTTTATTATAGCCATGCATATATTACCTTTCTCAGTAGATGCATGGGCAATGGAAGCAAACATTATGCCTCAGCTTTCTTTATATCTCTCATTATTTAACATAGTGTCTTGCTTAACATACTATTTTCTTAATAAATGATTAAGCGGTAGTTAATTTGTAGGTGAGGGAAGTATTCAAGTGTCAGATTCTTCAGATAATGAAGTGGTGCTCACTCAAGGCTGTGATTCATTGGAATGAATCTCTTCCAACCTCTCTTTGTCAAGTCTTTCAATTGCAGAGAGATAAGTATTTGCGTCTTCTTTTGGTTTATCTAAAAGGTGAGTTTCAGAAATGAAAATAAAAACAAAAAGATATTATATCCAGCAATAGTGAATACAGAGAAATCTTCTACTCCAGAATTCACCCTTAATTCCTTCACTGTTTCTTTAGTAAGCATCCCCTAAAGAACAGTGGTTGTTGCTGAGGAGAATATGAAAGATGATCTTTCAATAATGTGTAGTATGTGCTATGCTGGCAGAATTAAGGGTGCTATGGAAACACAGATCAGGGCATCTGGACCAGTCTCAGGGAAACTGAGACCTAAAAGCAGAGTAGGGGCTGGCCTGGTGAAAGAGAAAGAGGTGAGAGAGAGAGATGTGTAAGGGTTCTTTGGGCAGAGGCAGTCAAACTACTCTAATTGAGAGAGCTCATACATGCTTTTGGTACATAGAATGTGATTCTTTGTGGTTAGAAAATTTAGATTTATTTGGAGTAATTGGCCTTAAAATCTCACTTCTTTATCACTCAGGACTGAGGTTATTCAGACACTTTGTCAGAGGACCTTTGTGTCACTTCTCCTAGGCCCAGACTAAGAAAGCATTTATTTCAGTGTGTGTGTGTAGGAAGAGGAGGTGGAGGAGGAGGAAGTATACTGATACGGTTAACCAAGGCACACTGTTCTCAAATAGCTCCACCACCACTCACCTCTCCTTCCCAGACAGGGGATACGGATGCTCTTTGTCTTATTATCAAACATATAGTAAACCTAATGCTTACCTTTTAAATACCTTTCCTACACTGTCTATGAATACCCAACAATACCTAGTTAGATTTTTAGTCTTTTCATTAATAGTCTACATATAAGAAACCTAGTGTGAAAAGAAAGCTGAGCAAGTAGAAAGGTATGCTATATCCTTCAATGGGAAGATTCAATATATAAAGTTTTCAAATCTCCCTAAATTAATTTATAAAGTTTATTAAGCCAGGTATGTTTATATAAACCAGATAAGTTTGTATTAAACATCATAAGAAAAGATAATCAAATAAGAAAAAGAAGAAAACAGCTGGAAAGGAGGAGCAATGAGGGAAGATAATGGCTACTAGATATTAAAATATATCTCAAAAGTCTCACTGAGGGAATCTCTGTGGTCTGGGACACAAATAATGGTCCAAAGGACAGAAATAAGCCTAAGTACATATTTGAATTAAATATAAAGGAAACACTGAGGTTCAGTAGAGAAGAAAGTCGTCTATAAATGGCTTTGGAAACACACCACATGCTCACCTATATGAGAATTATCGGACATTCATTAAATGGAATACTCTGTGCCTGTAATGAGGAATGAAGGAAAAAACTACTTTGTGTTTTGGTATGAGAAGTTTCTATAAACTCTTTACTTAGTTTTATACACACACACACAGACACACATATTGCATGTATAGTGTGGTATAGAATGTTCTCTTGTGGGTGATAAAGAGAAAGAGAGCAGTATGCATTTATATTTGCTGTATATGCGAAAGTAATCTGTTGAAGATTGCACAAGAACCTAGTATCTGTGTTAAAGTAGGGGTAGATGTGGGAATATTTTTCAGTACATATTTTATTATTTTTTCAAATTTTTGAAGCATATAAATATATTTAGTCAAAAATTCAGATGCATGGTATGTTTACATTAATTGTTTATTGACCCAGTTGTCTCCATTTCCATTCTCTTCATTGATCCATAGTGCTTTCTGCAATCTTGGTCTTCCAGTTCTGTGACCAATGACAGTTCTAACTTCGGTGTTTGAAGACAAGAAAGGCAGATGAAGCAAAACGGAAGTAGAGTGTTTGTACGTATATTGTTTTGGGGGTGTATTCTTAGAAATAACTAGATCTCCACCTTGATACAAACATTAGCTTTAAGACCTCTGTGGTAGTCAGACTAATGGTTCCCCAAAAAGTCCACATCCCAATCCCTGGAGCCTATAAGTAACTTAACGGCAAATGGGACTTCACAGGTGTGGCTAAATTAAGGATCTGAAAATGGGAGATTATTTCTATGTGGGCCCAATCTAATCATATGGGTCTGTAAAAGCAGAGAAACTTTCCCAGCCATGGTCAGAAAGAGATAAGACTGCCTCATTGTTTGAAGTATAGTATTTAACTGCGATAGAAGAAATTGTGTAGCTTGTCACCACCGCAGAACTAAACCTAGGATTAGAATCCCAGGTTAATTGGTTTCAGATCAACATGACCGGATCATAGGACCCCAGTCTAGCTGCAGGAGTAGTTGATATAATTATTACAATACAATTATTTATTCAGTAAAGGTTTACTGGATGAATAGGACTTAGAATTTGTCAAGAGATGGAGAAGTACGCAGTAAAGAATTAGTTCAAGGTTTTTACACATTAAAGATGAGGAAAATCATAACACCTGTGGGCTTTAAAAGCATCCAATTTAGAGTGGTGTGAGCAGTTTATTAGTGGGTACAGTGGAATAGCTCTAGTTTTTGTAGATCACTGAAGAGAGCATCAAGGAGAGAAAGGCTGCTCACAGCAGATTTGATCTTCAAAACTGTGAGTATGACTGGGGTCTCAGGAAAGGCAAAAACAGAAAAAGAAGGGTAGAGGGGCTAAGAATAAAAGGGAGAAGAGGAGAGGGAATGAAGGAGAAAAGGCAAGAAAAAAAGATAAAGGCAAAAGGGGGAGGAGGAGATGAAGATATATCACCTTGATTTTGAAAAAGCTTATTTTTCCTTTTCATAAAAGGAAAGGAAGAAGGTTGAGGTTTTGAGTGACTTTATTTTTCAAATTGTACTCTCCACTCTAGATCCTATTGTTTTCAGGAACTCTTTTGAGTAACCCCTGTCCTTTTAGGTGTTTTTCCAGACAAGTCACATTCATTTAGCACACAAGAAATCTCAAAGTGTCTTACAAAGACTTTCAGATTAGATGTTAAGACAGAGTGTAATATTTGAGATATTTGTAATATTTGAGAGCCCCACAGTCTTTGTAGTCAGACAGACTTGGTTCAAGTCCCTGCTCTGAAATTTAAGGGC